GTCAGTGAACCTGATGGACTGATACTGGGGTGGGGGGCAGGAACCTTGCCAGGGGATTTTTCTGGGCCAGAACTAAATCAAAAGGAGAATTATGAAGTTTATTCTCCCCAGCCTTAGCCTATAATATAGGGATTTAGACACTTGATATATGGGCCTCCATGACGATGGTGATGATGATAAAAATAAGCATAGTAATAATAACAATACTTAACACTTATATAGTGCTTTAAGATTTGCAGATATAATTTCATTTGAACTTCACAGCAGTCCTGCGAGGCAGGTACTGTTATTGCCCCATTTCACAGATGAGGAAACTGAGGCACACACAGTTTGTTCAGTGACTTACCTAAGGTCAGCTAGTAGGTTAGCCTGAGGCGGGATGTGAACTTGGTTCTCCCTGACTGTAGGTCTGGCACTCTATCCATTATCAGCCACCTCGCTGCCCTCCACCAGGATTGACTGTCAGGCGTTCATTGGCTCCTTGCATGAGGGAGGAGGCCCTGGGGCTTTGTTTCCAACCTCTGGAAGAATGGCTTTGGAAGGAACGGTTAAGCCTTAGCAGGTTGGATGAGAGATAGCTCCTCTAGGGGTCCTTGCTGCTGTTCGAATGAAGGTCAGAATCCCAGCATTGGCCATCTAATCCACCCCATACTGAAAAAGAGTTCTTCATGACGTCAGCGTACTTGACACGTGGTCATCTGGCCACAGCTTAAAGACCTCCAGGGAGAGGAACCCACCATTTCTCAAGGCAGCCCACTGGTGGGTAGCGCTAATTTGTATCCTAACCCTGATTAGTGTGAATGATAATCCCATGGTCAAATTCACACCAAAGTTATAATTATCTAAAATATGGTAATGGGTCTAGTTGAAGGGAAATGTGCAGTGTGAATTCAAATAATGTGACCACCTCATGGGATTCATTGTTCACACTAATTGGGACCTTACCTATGTTAATGGAGTAGCTTGGTGTCACAGTAGGTAGAGTGCTGGGCCTGTGGTCAGGAAAAACCTGAGTTCAGATTTGGCCTCAGACACTTACTAGATGTGTGACCCTGGGCAAGTCGCTTAACCCTGTTTGCCTCAGTTTCCTCATCTGTAAAATGAGCTGGAGAAGGAAATGGCAAACCACTTCAATATCTTTTCCAAGAAAACCCCAAATGAGAACATGACCAAACAAGAAAAACAAGAAATATATATATTAGTTAAATTTTCCTTATATCAAGCCTAAATTTGCTTTTTCGCAGCTTCCCAATACCTCCTGGTTTTGTCCTGAGAAGCCAGAAATAATAAGTATAATCTATCCTCCACGTAACCGATTTTCAAATACTTGGAGACAACCATCATGTCCTCCCTGAATCTTCTCTTTTCCAAGCTAAACATCCTCACTTCCTTCACCTGATCCTTATATCATGTGGAATCCAGTGCTAGCCATCCCCCTTCTCAGTATTTTGCATTTTCTTTGTCTATGTTATATATTTATTCTCTGTGTCTCTCTTGCAATAGAATATAAACTTCTCAAAGGCAGGGGCTGTTTTGTGTTTAATCTTTGTGTCTCCAATGTCTGGCACAGACTTAAGTGCTTAAATCCTTGATGAATGAATTGGACCCTCACAAATGGCCCTGTGAGGTAGCTATGCTACACGTATTGGTTCTTCCCATTTTACAGAGAAAGAAACTGAGGGCTACGTAAGATGAAGTGACTTACCCAAGGTCACTTGGTGGGAGGGACAAAGTGTCAAGGGTATAATTTCACCCCAGAGCTCTTTCTATTCTATAAAAGTTGCCTGTCAGAGATGTGAGGATTAATCAGGAAATAAGGGTAAAACTCCCTAGATCTTTCCTTTGAAAGGCCCTTATAAATATAACCTCTCCTGTTTTATTTTCATGCCTTATCTGTCCTCCCTCCAGGCAGAAGGATGGCTGTTATTTAATCCCTGGACTCTTTATGACTTGGAAAAACAGATAGGAGGTGTGTTAGAACAACTCCTCCTCTTCTCTGAGGAGCGCCTGTGATAATTGCCGGGAGGCAGCAGGGCCCAATGTTTGACCTGAAATTTCAGCTCAGATCATCCCTTCCTATTTCCACTAATTTAATTTCCTTTTCCTTTTTAGTAAATCAACACTAAGGAATCACTAGCCCTGGCCATCCCAGGATTTAGTAGCTGGTGATGCAGCTCACCTTTAAATTAATGGGATTCTTTGCTTTGGGTGAAATCCCTTTTATTAGCCGTGAGTATGTGGCTGAATGGGGAAATAAATAAGGTAATCACAGAATAAGATGATGGATGAAAGAATTATAATACCTTTTGTCTTTTACCTGCCTGCTTCTGTGTAGTAAATGTCCTTGAAGTCTGTAAGAGAGGCAGTGTAGAGTGTTGGTTAAAGAGATAGCCTTAGGAATATTTGGGTTCCAGTCTAGCTTTTCCCCTTTCTCCCTTTATGACTTTGAGAGAGAAACTGAACTTCTCCGAAGCTTATTTTCTTCATTTATAAAATGAGGTTGGACTAGTCTCCCTCAGTTGCTGCAGCTGAAAAATTGTTCACTCGCAATCCATCTGGTCATGGGGCAGTATATGTCAAAATCCCTGCTTTTGGAGTCTGGGGGACCTGGGTTCAAATCCTAGCACTGCCACGGCTTCCATCCATCTTTCATAGGTCATCGTTTCTCTCTCGGAGGTGGATAACATTTTTCGTCATCCTTTGGAATTGTTTTAGATCATTGTCTTGATCAGAGTGGCTAAATCTTTCGCAGTTCATCTTTACAGTATTGTTACCGTGTACAGCGTTCTCCTGGTTCTGCTCACTTTGCTTTACATGAGTTCATATAAGTCTTCCTGGGTTCTTCTGAAACCATTCTGCTCATTGTTTCTTATAGGATGGTAGTATTCCATCATAATCATGTGCCACAACTAGTTCTGCCATTCTCCAGTTGATGGGCTTCCCCCTGATTTCCAGTTCTTTACTGTGACAAAAAGAGCTGCTTTAAATGTTTTATACAATTAGCTCCTTTCCCCTTTTCTTTTATCTCTTTGGGATTGAGACCTTGTAATGGTATTACTGGGTCAAAGGGTATACCCAGTTTTATAACTCTTTGGGCCTAGCTCCAAATTGTTCTCCAGAATGGAGAATGGTTGGACTACCAATATCCTTATACAGATGAGGAAACCACGGACCAGCATCTTTATACATGAGGAAACCAAGGACCATAGAGCTTCATCATGGCTTGATTCATTGATTGGCATAATTATGGAGGACCTTGAAAGCCTGAAGGAGGAATGTAGACCAGTTTAGTAGACATGCAAAGCCATGGTTCTTAAGGAGAGGACTGGCTTGGTCAAAGCTATGTTGAAGAAAGGATTATCTGGATCACATAGACTGAATATAGTAGGGTCTGAGAAACCAGGAGACCAGATTAGGAGGCTGTCCCAGTAGCTTAGCCATGGAGTGAATGACCTGGGACTCTAGGGTGTGATGCTAGTGGGAACATAGGGAAGTGGCAAGTACGAGAGACCATTGGGTAGAAAGTATAATAGGACTTGGTAACATGTTGGGCTTAGGGATGGTGGGGAAGGGAATCATAGATGGCTACAGAATTCTGAGCCTGAAAAAAAATATTTTTTCACCTTCTGAAATGGGCAGCTGGTTTTGGGCAGCTGATTTTGATAGGAAGATGATGAGTTTGATTGTGACCCTGTTGAGTTTGGTTTCAGATTAGGGGAGAAGGACAACTTTCATGCCAGCAGGGTACATTATAATTCTAAAGACATGTTCCTATTTCCACTAATTTAATTTCCTTTTCCTTTTTAGTAAATCAACACTAAGGAATCACTAGCTCTGGCCATCCCAGGACTTAGTAGCTGGTGATGCAGCTCACCTTTAAATTAATGGGATTCTTTGCTTTGGGTGAAATCCCTTTTATTAGCCACGAGTATGTGGCTGAATGGGGAAATAAATAAGGTGTTGACATGATGTCAAGAAACTCTGAGTCTACGGGTATTAGGAACTAACTCTGCTTTGTTTGCCTCATTTTTGTCTCCCTGTAATCTTAGGTCAGTAAGATTTTAATGGTGTGAGAACTCCCTTTGCCAACAGAGACCACAACTCCTCTAACTCTGAAAAATGAGGGATTAGACTTGGTGAACATGGAGATCCTTTATCTCTTGAGAGTTTAAGAAAAAAATTACTTCTACTTGGTAATTAGTTATTGAACCAGTGGTGTGCAGGGATTGGTCCTCTCAGAGTGGTCAAAAGTATGTCTTTTAAAAATGGAACATTTTGTGGAGTGTTTAATTCCTCCAATGGTTTCTGGTGTTAATTTGCCCCTCCTTTGGGTAGTTTTACCTTGGGCCCCTCCTAGGCAAATGCTAATCTTTGTACTTTTCTAATGGCCATCTAAATGCTAGAGCATCAACAGTGAGAGACCAAGTGAGAAAATAGAGGCGAAAGGATTTTGAAAGTTAAAAGTACTAAACATTGGCTGCAGAGAACGGTAGATAAGAGGGCCTGGTCTGGGTAGAACAGCCTGTGAAATTCTTGTGAATTATTGATCTGAGGAAGTTCAGATGGGTTATTTAAAAAAAAATAAATTTTATCAATGACTTTTGTGTTTACATCGCCTAAATTTCCCTCTATATCCCCTCCTCACCCCTTCCCAGAGAGCTCTTCCTTAGACCCAGGGGATTCTATTTCTTTCAATCACTCCTGGGATGCCACCACCTTTGGCTTACCCAGGCAAGTTCATATTTATCCAGTCTCCACTGAGAGTCACTGGCATAAAGGATATCTGGTTTTTTAGTGTTGGATCTCAAAGACAACTATATGAGGGTAGGAAATTCAGAATAAGGAGGATAAGTAGGGCTGGGAAGATCAATATAATCCTGCCATAATTGCATAGTTGCCCCTCATTTGGAGACAGACCTGGCATCATTCCAGCCAGGTAAGTTTGTATCATCACCTGTTGAACATTCTGTTAATCCTGCCTTTCACCTTTTTGCCCTTAGTCCGAGTCAGGCCCGCCCTCCTATGGTCCAGTGGCTAAACCCACAGTCTCCTACAAGTCTGAGTGCCAACACCGCTGCAGTCCCTTCATCACCCACATCACCATCTTTCTCCTTCTCCCCTTCTGCCGCTGTGGCTGACAAGCCGACAGAATGGTATGTTGGACAGCCTGAGTTTGGGGTACATTGTTATCCACCAGGAGTCAAAGGGCAGAAATTAATGAATGTGGCTTAACTATGTACATTCCACAAAGTGGTTTCTTCCCAACAGACTCTGAAGGCATGTAGTAGTATGGGGACTATTCTCTCCTTTTTACAGATTAGGAAACTGGGGCCCAGTTAAGTAACTTGACTGGGGCTGAGTAGGCATTCAAAGCCAGTTCACTGGTTCTCTTTGCTGCCTCCTCTCAGAAGGAGGTAGCCCAGAGTCAGCTTTTAGGACCCTGGATATCTGTCAACTTTGTGCTTAGTACCTCCTCAAGAACCTTTTCCTTGAGTTTCTCCCTCAGATGGGAGTATCCTCATGATGCTCTCCTAATACTATGATTCCAGGCTTCTCTCAGATATGAACTTATTATGTTTTATAATCTCATGAATTTTCCCTACCTCTCACTCTCTAAGGAGAATTTTTTTTTCACATGACCTTCTACCTTACAAGGCCGGTAAACGTGAGACCCATAGATGGGGGATAAGGGGAGGATGAGAGGGGAAAAAAAGCAAAACTTATATTTAGCGCCTACAGTGTGTCAGGCAAAGTGCTAAGTGTTTTATCAAAATTATCTAATTTGATCCTCACAATGACCCTCAGAAGTAGGTGCTATTATTAACCCCTTTTCAGAGTTCAGAAAAGCTGAGGCAGACACAGGTTAAGGCACTTGCCCATGGCCAATAAGGCTGTATTTGAACTCAAAGTCCTCCTGACTCCAGGCCCGGCACCCTATCCACTATGCTGCCTGGCTGCCACTGAGAGGGTTAGCATCTTGCCCAGAATCCCACAACCATTATGTGTCAGGAGGAATACTTGAACCCAGAGCCCTCCTGACCCGAGGCCAGCTCTCTTCTTCCACTATGGCTACATTGCTTTTTTGTTTTCAAGCACATAAACCTGGACCCCAAAGAGGGCATCAGTTCTCTCTCCAGCAGAGCCAAGAGTAGAATTGAAGTCTCTGACCTTTCCCTAGTTGATTTTCTCCCTCAGTGGCGTGCTCACATACTTGCTCCCCTCTGCTGTTTACTGTTCACCCCAATGAGCTTGAAGCCTGGCCTTCCTCAGGCCCCATCCCCAGTTCTGAGCCCTTCACCAGGATGCCCTTTTCCCTGGAGCTCCCATAGGACGCTTTGTCAGATGATGAAAGGCCAACCTCTCCCTTTCTCCTCCAGCCTCTGCAGGAAAGTCTTTTTAAGTAAGGCAGACCAAGGCAGTGGAGGAGACCCCTCCCTTCCCATGGGAGTCGGGGAGTGGATTTTTAGCCCAAACAGATCTGCATTAGGGACTCCTCACTGAGTGCCTGAAGTGTGCACCAGTGTCTCTCGCTCTCTCCCCCTCTAGTGTGCTGCCTTCTGTTTCCCTAATAGATAAACTGAAATGCTTAAGAAGGAAATCTCCCCTGTGGTTTTTACAGTGCGGGATGATATAGGGGGAGAGCAGCCCCCTGACAGCCAGTGAGGCAAGAAGAGAGGGAGAAAGAGCTTCCCGAGGTGAAGGTTTGGATTTGAAACCCGTCATTGACTTGAGAATCAGACACCATGGCTTTTCCTGATGTTTGTTCACTTCCCCGTCCTTTTTTCCTGGGAGGGATTTGCCCAACTGGGGAGATGGAGATGCCTGCTGAAAGGTGGGCAGAAGGGGGAGGTCTCTGCTTCCCAGGTCCTTCTCATCTGATCCATCTGTGTTTCTCTGATGCTTCCTTTTCAGCATTGTGAGTCGGAAGGCTCGGGCTGTCTATCCCTGTGAGGCGGAGCACAGTTCTGAGTTGTCTTTTGAAATAGGAGCAGTTTTTGAAGATGGTAAGTATGGACAGGAGCTGTTCATTAGGGGCTCCATTCTTGCTTGCTCAAGATGAGTACAACACCTGGTAAGGAACCCAGGCATAGGATGATAAATTGAAATCTGGAAAGGATTCTAAAAGTCATTGAGGCCAACCTTCTTGTTGTACAGAAGAAGAAACTGAAGCCCAAAGGAGTCAAATGACCTGTCTAGGATCACACAGCTCGTAAGCCTCTGAGGCAAGAGCAAAAGCCAGGTCTTCCTGAATTCAAGTCTGGCACTTCAGTTACTATCTCACAGTATCTCTACCAGGCAGGCAGTATTGAGAGTAGAAAGCATACTCCATTCAGAACACGGGATGTGAGTTCAGATATGCCCCTACCACTTACTTGGGTTAATCTTTTAATTTTCTAGGGCCTCACTTTGCTCATCAGAGTACTCTTAGAGATAAAAGCCTGACTCTGCTCTGGTTCTTAGTGACTCCACAGTCCTTCTGGGGGAATGAAGGTCTTCACTGAGTGTCTCAGATAAGGAAGGTGAAATGTTCTCCGTAGCTCTTTAGCTGTGTTGACATGATGTCAAGAGACTCCAAGTCTACGGGTATTAGGAACTAACTCTGCTTTGTTTGCCTCATTTTTGTCTCCCTGTAATCTTAGGTCAGTAGGATTTTAATGGTGTGAGAACTCCCTTTGCCAACAGAGACCGCAACTCCTCTAACTCTGAAAAATGAGGGGATTAGACTTGGTGAACATGGAGGTCCTTTATCTCTTGAAATCCATGATCCTACCATCTTATTACAGTGAATTCAGGCAACACATTTGAGTTTGGTGACTGTGGCAGTAAAGCGAGGAACATTTAACCATTGCAGCTCAAAGCCAGCGTCTTGTGTGTAGTGGTCAGATCACAGCCTGTGCCTGTCTACATATGTATCAGTAGAACTGTGTTCTCCCCAAGGTAGACACTCCTTCTCTTGGTACTAATCTTAACCCATTCATGTCTTCTCATCCTGATTGCTTCTTGTCCATGTTCACCACTGGACCTTAGCAGAAGGTTGGCCCAACATACTAGAAGCCTTTTTTGTAGGTTTCTTCATGTTCCATGGATGCCAGTATAGGACTTGGGCAAATCCTTCTGTTTCCCCTTATTCTAGGTAACATGAAAGGCCTACCTTCTTTGTACACAGAGATCAAGGAATTACAAAACCTGGAACTGGAAAGAACCTCTGATACCATCTGGTCCATCTCCTTCATTTTATAGATAAGAAAACCGAGGTCCTGGGAAGATGGGTGACTTCCTCAAAGTTACAAAAATAATGTGGCAGAGGCAGGATTTGAACTCAGGTCCTCTTACTCTAGACCTGGTGTTTCTTCCAGTGTTCCATGCTTCCTCAAAGGAATCTCTTACACTGTTTCTTGTGCCCAGGCCATAGGTAGAATATGTGGCAGCCTAGGGATGAAAAGGCATATTTCAAGCATGTTGTACTGTGCTAAGCCCTGGAGACACAGAGAATAAAGTAAGCTAGCCCCTTCTCTCAGGAAACTCACATTCTAATGTTGGGGAGATAGTACTGCAAGTCAGATGGAAAGGCCCAGTGGTCCTTGGGGGTATAGCAGCAAAGCGAGTAATGATGCCCCTACTTCCATATGAATTCCACTGATAAAACCATCTCAGTTTCTGAGGTTGAACCCCTTGACAGTGTTAAGGACTTTGGTGGGGAGAACTTTCTTTTCTGGGTGTTCAATACGTGTGGCTGCTGAGGACACAGGGTCCACCGCAGGGGCAGAGATGTTTGCTGGGTTGGGTCCTGTGAAGGTTGCTTCGCTGGATGAAAGCTACAGGCCAGTAGTGTGGGGGACTGGGAGGCTGCCCTTCTTGGTGCTGTCAGACTAATCTCCCCACCAATGGCAGTTGGTGTGGGGGGGTGGGCCCCATCTTCACAGGGATTGCCCCCCTGGATAATGGCTGGGTTGGCTGGCTTGGAAGCAGATTCTGTTGGCTTGCTCATATCCACTCTGTATATTTGGCTCCCTTGAGACAGTCCATATTTGGATTCTTTGGAGATTGTGATTTTCCAAAATATGTAGCCATATAGTGTCCTTAGGAAGACATATGTGTTTTAAATTGAAAATATTTGGTTTTTCCATACTCTGGCAGCATAAAATTTTTGACCTAGAAGGGACCTCAAGGGACATCTAGTCCAACTCATACCTGAGACATCTTATATAATTATATTATGTGATTTGTAAAGTATCAAATAAGGTATTATATTAATTTATTAAATTTGTGAATGTATTCAGTCATTAAATATCACAATAACTAACCTTTTGAAGGAACCCATTGCATTTTGAGATTTAACTTTAATAGTTAGGAAGATTTTCCAACAAATATCAAACCTAAATCCACCTCTTTTAAATTACCCCCCCCTGCTCCTAGGATCAATTTGGGATTGTAGTTTCCCGGATATCATCCAGCCTACTGTCTTCCTATTACATTCTGGGCCCAACTCATCAGCCATCTGCAGTACCCTGTCTCAGATCTCTGTTCTGATGGACTCACTGTTTGGGCTGGCCATCTTCCTCAATGCCTCACTCAGGACCTTTTTCATCTGTTTAGTTCTTTCTTTAGGGACCCAGACCAGGCACTTAATACATTTTTGTTGATTGGATGTAACAATAACTTGGTGGCCCTTTTTTCCTGGGTTTTTCCTAGGAAACATGCCTCAGTGGTTCCAATACATGTGATGTCATTGGTGTGCTTCCCCCATAGGCTGTAGGAGACTCCTGGTCCCTTTAAAGAATAATTTCCCTAACTACTTGGACCAAAAAAGATGTCAAGTGAGGAGGCAAGTCTTTTCATCAACCTCTCTGGTCTTGACCAGCTGTATCTTTGAATGACAGATTTATAGTTAGTTGCCGAGCCCATTCTTAATACCTTGTAGGACCTGCTCAGAGTGCAGTCTGTTGGCCCAGGTCTCCCCACTTCAGGCACCAAGAAGCCATCAGAGTAGTGTGCCGATGCTGGAGCAAAAGGCAGGTTTCTACTCTGATTCTTAATGGCTCCACAATCTCTTTTGGGAATGAAAGCATCTTCATTCAGTGTCTCAAATAAGCTGAAATGTTCTCTGTAGGTTTTAGTACCTGTCTCTTTAGCAGTGTTGACATGATACCAAGAAAGTCATTGTCTACAGGTATCCTTAGAACTACCTCTGATTTGTTTGCCTCATTTTTCTCTCCCTATAGTCCTCAGTTAGTATTATTTTAATGGTATGGGAACTCCAAGTGTGAGAACTCCCTTTGCCGATAGAGAATGCAATTCTTCTGTAGCCTTATAGTCTTACAGAGTAGCCTGAGGCTCAGAAATGTTAAGTGACTGTCCCCAGCTCACAGAGCTGTGAAGTGTCAGATGCAGGATTGGAATCCACGCCTCCCCAGCTGAGTCCAGCACTCTGTCCACTGTACCATGCTGCCCCTCAGGAGCCCAACTTCCCTTTAATACTTCAGATTTGCTTTATACTGATTTAGCCATGCTTCAGGAAACCGGGCTTGAAGATGATTTCCCATCATTCTTCCTGCATTATGCGTTTCTCACTGGTTGGAACAGTGAGCTCAACCCTAGCCATAAGTAACAGCCTATTTGGTGGTTGGCCTGTGCAAGGAGGTCACACATTGTCATGGGAGTGTTTGATCTTATGTTCATGCACAAGAGTGTTGAGAAGGTTCCTCTTCTGGTCCAGCATGTGTCCTTTAAAAAAAAAATAAAAATCCCAGCACTCATATAAAAATGCATTAGTTACTGTGGTAGCAATGATGCTGTCTGTGAGTAGTGTTTTCAGTAGGAGGAGTGAGTGCCAGGGGACGGTGGTGAGATTGGTTTTCATTGCTTGTGGATACCATAGACAGCAAGCAGCCTGGTCTGCTTGGCCAACCTGAATATATTTGGAGTGTGCGTGTGAGTGTGTGTGTGTGTGTGTGTGTGTGTGTGTGTGGGTCTGAAGCTATTCAATAAAATGCATACACATACTGCCGCTTTCTGTAGCGGGCAGGGTTAGCTGTGGCAGCATTGACAAGCCTGTTGTTAAGAACTGTGGGTCCCACTTGCATCCATCAGTCCAGTGTTTGTTGAGCTATTAATGACAACAGAGGTCATGGGGTCATAGGTTTGAGTCCTGACCCCATTATTTGACAGATGAGGAAACACGAGGCACAGGAGGGTTAAGTGATTTGGCCATCATCACACAGCTAGTAAGTGTCTGAGGTAGGATTTGAAACCCAGGTCTTCCTAACTGCCAAGAGCTTTATAATGTTTATAATTTTGGAGGATTTTTTGTTTGTAGGGTAGAAGGTAGATCATTTATATATAAAGTGTTGTCAGAAGTTAGTTGAACTCGTGATTAAGAAATCCCTTTTAGGAGCTGGAGGCAGCTATCCAGTGGATAGAGCACTAGGCCTGGAATCAGGAGGACTTGAGTTCAGTCCAGCCTCAGATACCTGGGCAAATCACTTAACCTCTTGTTTGCTTGAATTTCCTCAGCTAAAAAATGGGATCTCCAGAGCAAATGAAATTATGTTTGTAAAGTGTTTAGCACATAGTAGGTGCTTCATAAATGAACATTTCCTTTCTTCTCCCGCCCGTGCAAATTGGCACCAGCTCTGCAGCTTAAAGTCTTAGAGATTTGCCTGGGGACATTGAGAGGTCAGGCGATTTACACAGTAGGTGTTAGAGGAAAGATTTGAATACAGGACTGAGTCTAGGGCTGGCCCTCTCTGTGCTCTGCCAGGCTCTTACAAAGTGGGAGACACTAGCAGTGAAGAATTTTGATGTGGTCCTATTGAACTCGGTTGAAAAATGATTCCTCTTTCATCCTTGTAACACTGGAGGGGGGGATCATTGGGTTTATTTAGACAGGTCTCTAAATATATGAAATCTCATGTAGTGAGTGGAGTAAGAAGGGATTTGTGTTACTGGAAAGCATTAGTTATAGAACTTTAAGCCTGAGTCCCTATGAGATTCCCAGGATGCTTCCTTCAAAAAGCCAATGGAGTTGCCAGGATTAGTTTGCATACTAGAGAACTAGTCATATCCCTTCCCTTGAGCACTGGTGTCTCTAAACTTGGGATAAGGTAGGGGTGGGGGGGAAGGGGGCAGGATGGGACCTTAGAGGTCATCAAGCATCTAAATTCTAATACACACCCTGAATTTACAGATGAGAAAACTGAGGCCCGGGTCTGTGAAGTGACTTACTTTAGGTTGCACAAGTATGAAGAAGCAGAGAGGGGACCTTAATCAAAGACTCTGGACACCAGATAGTTAGAAATGGGGAGAGAATTAGGTACTAAGAGTAAAGGTTGACGAAGGGCAAGGGAATGACAGCGAACCAAGGAAGTTATTTTTGTCAGAGGGAAAAAGCACAGTAAGTGTTAGCAGAAGAGTCTTCCCAGGTTCAAATTGCTGACCTGGCGTCTCTAGTCTCTGGGATGAGAATCAGGCTTGGAAAAAAGCTATGGCTGAGTTTTAATAAGTTGAATTTAAATAGGAAGAAATGTACATTCTTATACTTAGATTCCAAAAAAATTAAATTCACAAGTACAAGATGGAGGATGTTTGGTTAGATATATCTAACATTTTGTCTGGAGTTAGAAATAAAAAAGATCTGGGGTATTTTAGTAAACTTGTAAGGTTAATAAGATTCAACAGAGCTGTATAAGCGCGGGCCAGAAAGGCCTCTGGAGGTCACCCAGTTCAAACCCACGTTTTGTAGATGAGGAAATTGAGGCCTAGAGGAATTACGTGATTTTCCCTAGGCCCCGTGACTCCAAATCCAGTTCTGTGTCATCTCCCTCTAGCAGCAAAAACCTGTTGCAATGCTCGGATGCATTAAGTGAGACCAAGCGTCCAGGATGAAGGAAGCGATCATCTCACTGTCCTCTGTGCTGGCTGGACAACACCCTGAGGGATGATGTTCAGTTCTGGGCACCACACCACTTTGGGGAGGATACTAAGCTGGAGAGTGTCCAGAGGAGGTCAGTTTGGATGGTGAAGGTCCTTGATGTCATCTAGTATGAGCTCCAGTTGCTCATCTAATGAGTTTTGATGGTTAGGGAATCGTTTCTTGACTTGGGCTTAGATTTGTCTTTTCCCATCTTCCACCCGTTGCTTCTGGTCCTGCCCTCTAGGGCCAGACAGAGTAAGTCCAGTCTCTCTCCCTCATGGCAGCCCATGGGATACTTGAAGACCACCGCTGTCTTTTCTTGACGCTAACCATCCTCAAGTCCTTTGACTGACCCTCCTATGAATCAAGGGTTCAAGACCCTTCACCATCCTGTCCATGTTTCTCTGGATTATGTTCAAGTTTATCAATGTCCTTCTTAAACTGTGAACACAGAACTTCTGACCGAGTCTGATGTGGGCAGAGTATGTGGTAGGTATTCTCACCTGCCAAGTCCTGGGAGCTGTGCCCCTCGTAATGTGGCCCCAAGTTATGTTTTCCTCATTTGGCCACAGACTGACTCCAACTTAATTTTGCAGTGTCTTTAAGCCCCCAGATCTTTTTCAGGCAAATTATGGTCTACCCATGCCTCCCATGTCCTATGCTTGTGAAGTTGATTTTTTAAAATCAAATATAAGATATACAGCATGCATTTATATCTTCCAAATTTCATTATTATTAGATTTATCCCCTTGCTTTAGCTTGCCAAAATCCTGGCAGTGTGTTAGGTGTACCTCCCTCCTTCATGTTATCTGCAAAGTTGGTGTATGTGCCATCTATGCCTTTATCCAGGATTTTAATAAAAATATTAAGCAGCATAGGACCAAGCACAGATCTCTGGGTCCTCCACTGGAGACCTCCTATCATGTTGACATTGAACCATTAATGATGATTCCGAGTCCAATCATTCCACCAAATTCATCAAATTGTATTATCCAGTCCACATTTCTCCATTTTTTCCGTAAAAGTCATTTTGGGTGCTTTGTCAAAGGCTGAGTTTTACATTAGCAACAATGTTGTAAAAATAAATGCCTTTGGAAGACCTAGGAACTCTGATTAATGCAGTGACCAACCGTGATTCCAGAGGACCAGTGATAAAGCTTGTTCTCCATCTCTTAACATAGAGGTGATGGACTCAAGATGCAGAGTAAGATGGACGTTTTTGTACAAAGTCAGTGTTGGAATTTGTTTTGCTTGACTATGCATTTTTATTACGTTTCTGTTTTTCTTTTGTTTCCCCAATTTGTGGGGGAAAAGAAAGAAAATTAGTGCTTGTTAGTTGGAAAGAAAAAGTAAAACCTACTTAAATGGCCAGTACAGCATTTCTCTGATCTCCCAGCTGAATAAATCATGTCCAAAGAGCAAATAAGGTCATTCTGGCATGACCTCTTCTTTTGGGAGCCATGTTGGCTCATTGTCGTCTAATAACCATTTCCTTCTCTCTTTCATGATGAAGTGCAGAATTTCCCCAGGAACTAAGGTCAAGTCCATTTGCCTATAGTTTGCAGACTTTGTTCTCTTCCCTATATTCAAAAATCAGGATGCTATTTGTGCTTCTTCAGGCACGTGGCACCTCTTTTGTTTTCCACAGCCTTGCAAAGGACCATTATCTTCTCCTTATTTCATACACCAGCCCTTATTGGGGTCCTGGCTTGGTGCTCTTCACACCACTCAATCTGTAGCTATAACTTCGGACTTACAACTACTGGAGTGGGGTGGGGCTTCCCAACCTATTTTCTACCCAACTTAATAAGTGCCCTTGCTATTGACCCACCATCTTTGACTCTAGGGAACTTTAGGTGACAAAGTCAGGTCCCACTTCCCATTTTATGGAATTTTCTGGAGGACTCAAAAAGTATCACCCCCATGGTAAAGAAGAAAATGACTTGAAGTTAACACACGTAGGCAGCATTTATTAAGAAATTACTGTGTGCCTGGCACCAAGTTTGAATGTGATTTTGCTACTTCCTGCATGCGTGACCTTGAGCCAGGTTACCCAGTGTTTCTGGGCTTCACACTCCTCAACTGTAACACAAATAAGGGTGATTGGCCTGGATTTTTTTTCTTGACATTCCTAGCACTTAGCCCTGTACCTGACACATAAGTAAGAACTTAATAAATACTTATTGGATGAATGACTGGTAAGGTCTTTTCCAGTTTGGAAGCTTTGATGCCATGATCCTCCTACATTGGGTACACAGGAATATTAGTGTTTTAGGCATCTAAGTAAAGATTTTCTGTTGTTTTTTTTTTTTTTCCCTCTTCCCTTTCAGTTCAAACTTCAAGGGAACCTGGCTGGCTAGAAGGAACTCTGAATGGCAAGAGAGGACTGATTCCACAAAACTATGTCAAGCTGCTTTAGTTCACAGCCTATGGACGTTGATGAACTGTCCATGGTATCCATGGACTCTCCTTAGGGTTGCTTTGCCCCACTTGGGGTGGGAGGAAGATGCTCATGTGACCAGGAATACACAGTGAACCTGTCAGACAAGAATTCAGATCCCTGCTTTGAACTTGGTTGGGGTGGGGGTGGGGTATTAGTGGGTGGGCTAGGGAAGGGAGGGGGTGAGAACGGGACTATTTAGTGTTTTGGATGGGTGAAGAATGATTGCATGAGTGTCTGAATGTCTTTATCTGGTCCTGAACCTTTATGGCTGTTTGTTTTTAATGACCCTGCTTCCGAATGGGAAGGTAGCAGTCTTTTTGGACTTGCCTCTCTGCACCAGCTTCCCACCACCACACCTGGGATGCAGAAGAATCACTTTCTTCACAGTGCTCCTGAAAAGTTGCATGGTGACCATTCATCGTCCTAGGCATGGTTACATTACCAAGGCATTCTCTCGTTTCTGCCAAAGAAAGGCTTTCGTTGGTGTGGCCTGAAGCTGTCTTTGACGAGCTGCCACCAAGCTGATGGATCAGTGCTGAACCAGTGGGAAGCAGAGAGGATATTTGCAGACAGGCTTCAAGATCAGAAGCCTTTCCCTGACAGAGGCAGGCTTTCTCAGTCACTTCCCCTAGACAGGGTACACGTATGTTTATGGCAAGCCTCACTATCTCTCATGGATCTCATTTGTACACGGACTTGTCCTCCCCCCCCCCCAAAAAAAATCTCTGTAAATGAAATAAAATTTAATTTACTCTTGGATCTGCCTGTCATGATGTGGGGAGAGAACTTGGAATTCATTATCCTTGTAATGTTTTATGAACCCGAAGCCCTACTGACTGAAATTCATTTTTTCTGCGGGATTGGCACTGGCTCCTGCTTAGAAATTGTAAACATGGAGTTCTGCTCCTGCTCCCCAGGGAGTGGGTGGGATGGAAGAATTCCTCAGGAACAGCTGGCATGTTACCGGCAGCCTTCCCCAGTGCTGCTTAAGAGTCTTCACAAGCCCCCTGCAGCCCCAGTTTTCCCTCCCATGCTTATCTGTGCCCCCACAAATAAGGGAGTGGGAGCAGGGCTGTGTGACCTTGCTGTTAGCACTTTCTCACTATCTCCTTAATGAGTTCAAAACCAACTTTCCCGATTGGTTTCAGTGCATCTTGCGTTCTTACTAGTCCACCTTTCTTCCCCCATCTCCTCTTTCATGTTAGCGTCTGTTCCTGGCCTTCCTCAAAGCTAATCTTGACGGCCAGGGTAAGCTATATTTTGAGCCTGAGAGGGGCAATTGGGAGCCATAGTGTGGGCTCATGCACTTTCACCTTTGCCTGGGGTAGGGCTATCCCTGTCCCCCCCACCCCACAGCTTTCCATGGGCCATGTTGTAAGGGGCTTGGAGAGCCATGCTTCTAACCATGGCAGTGAAGGCAACAAGTCTTGAGTGTTCGTACCTCACACACATGTGAAACCAAGGAGGAAATGACCCTCCCACCATGTCCCTGACTTCTTATGAACAGCCCTGTCCTGTTGGGGATCTGAAGCTACTGGTGCTCATCTAAATCCTCCCTGTTCATGTCTGAAAGCTTTGCCTTGCAAAGGCAGAGTCAGATTTTAAATGTTTTCTATTCAGCTCAGCCTTACACAGCAGGCACAAATGATCTGCAGATGCTTTCAGCAGCGTCTGCCTTGGTCCAACTCCTAGACTCCAAGTGGACCACTTCCAAGTGCTGAGCTTTACTTTCTGCAAGGCAGTGAGTCTCCTGTCTGCTAGCCACCCCTGGACTGAAGTGCTCACCCTCTTCATGGAGTGGCTTCACCACTTGGAGCTTCTGAATCTTTAGCTCCCATAACAGGTTCTTAGCCTTGGATGCAGGTAAGTTTATCTATAAAGTTTCATTCTGCTCTAAAAAGCAGTTGAAACAGCCTTTCCTTAAAGGCTGGGCTGTTCTACTGGAGTAATGATTTATCAGCTTTGCAGTCACTTCATATATACTGTGAAGGTTTTGTAATACAGGCCAATTCACAGGAGAGGAAAGAAACATATCAAAAAGAATTGAACAGAGAAATTCTGTGTAACTTATTTTCTTTTAAATGCTTTCCAGTTGTCAGGAGGAGAAGCCAGTCAGTGTTTTACTCTAAGTACAAGAGGCGCTGTGGAACTAGGAAGGACTGCCTGGCTTCATGTAGTCAGTTATTTTCCAGGAGAGCTGAGTTGTAATATGGCTGCCACATTGGAGGAATCGAGCCATGTTACTGATCTTAACTTAAAATCGCCGTATTTTTGATGTTGGTGAATTTCAGCCCATACCTACATCTCAGAGAAGTTGGAAACTATGATTTGTTGTCCTACAGCCTGTGCTCTGCTTGAGAGGATGCTACCAGAGTTGGTTTGTGTGTGTGTGTGTGTGTGTCTATGTGTCATGGATCCCTTTGGCAGTCTGATGAGGCCTACAGACACTTTCTCAGAATTTATTCTCAGAATCAATGCATAAAATAATATATGTAGAATTACAGAGGAAATCAACTATTGAATGAGAGTCATCAGAATATTAAAAATGCAAGTTTGGAACCCCAGTTCAGGAGTTCTGGTTAAGGCCAAGAACCCTGCACTGGATGAGAAGAGACCTCAGAACATCCAGACCAAACTCCTACCTAGTATGTTCTATAAAATCTCTAGGAGTTGGTCAGCCAAGTTCTGATTGAACAGTCTGATCAGCAATGGAGGAAGCTCACAGAATGACTTGTCATATGAGGGCCTTTCAAATACTTGATGATGATAATCATGTCTCACCCTTTGTTTTCTGTTCCCTAGGCTAAATATCAGTTTTTTCGATTTTTCATTATAGAATATGGCATCTAGATTTCTCTCCATCGCCCTCCTCTGGACGCATTTTAGTTGGTTGAATGTCTTTAAAACATGGTACCCAGCACCACACACAATTGTCTGACCAGCCCAAACTACAGGAGTACTATGACCGTCACTTGATTTCTATTACTGCACCTTAAGACTGTACTGATTTTTTTTTTTTTTTAGCATCTGCAAGATGCTATTTGCTTATTTTGAGCTCGTAGTTACCCTCAAATGCCAGATCTTTTTTCCACATGATACTGTCCTTAGGGTCTCCTACATCTTTAATAGAATGAATTTCTTGAGGGTAAATACTGTGTTGTATTTCATATTTGTCTCCTCAGACCCATACATGGTACCTTGGGCGTGGCAGACCTTAAATATTTGGATTTGATCTTATTCTTGTTCAATGTTTTTTAACCCCAAATGTAAGACTTTACTTTTATTCCTAGTAAACTTTTATTTTGTTGGCCTCAGCCCAGACTTCAGGCCTGTCAGTTGGAATGTGTATTAATGATCTTCCGTCCCAGCCTTGTGTCTAGGAGTGTGCTGGTAAATGTTTAACAACCAGTTTTCCGGAGGGAAAAAAATGCAAAGGATACACTTTTCTGTTTAATTGTCATTATTAGTAGTACACAATCATCAAAACAATAAATTGAGGCCTGATTTTGTCATTTTTGTCTGATTGCTGAGGTGTAAGTGCTCACACTAAAAATTTAACAATGAGCTCTATTGGAGCAGGCCTGAGCACACCCTTGTTTATGTCACCTATAGATAAATGATCGAAAAACTCACTTTCATATGATGAGTCCTTTGAGTATGCAATGTAGATGATCCTAGAGAGAGGACAAATACAGCTGTCCAATGAAAAGTGTTAATTTATGTGGTCAAAAAAATTCAGTGTAAGGTTTTTTAACTAATCGACTCTTCTAACATTTTTATAAGAATGCAAAGTTGGTTTTGAATTCCACTTCAGGGAGTATCAGCTTTACAGACAGGCACGTTTTTTTTGCTATCATCCACTGTTGTGAAAAGGTGACTCTTAATCCATGACCTACAGATGGCAGATCCATAATATCTATTTATTATGTTGATCAGATTTCTCCCTGTGACAGTGGAGTGGAAAAGGGCTCAGCTTAATTCAGTGGGTAGATGTGAGCCAGAAAACCTAGATTTCAATCCCAATTCTGCCAGTTACTGTTTCTGGGTTGCTTAGCAATTCTGGACCTCAGTTTCTTCATTTCTAAAATGAGGTTGTGGGACTGCATGGCCTGTATGGTTTGTTGCCGTTCTACATGTGAGTTAGGTGATGGGCTCCTATGTAAAGAGTAAGAAAAAGGTAGGAATTCTTTTGTATGGTCCTTATGGCTTTAAACATAGAAGCTGAAGTTGAAATAGTACTTCTGTACCTGACCTGGAAGCTCCATTGCTATTTTGAAATCCAGCAGTATTAGCCAAGTCATGCCAGCCCAATGGAGTTGGCCATGATAATCATATTTTATATGCCCAAAGTGTTCCCCTCTTCTCTCTTCCCTGTCTCCCCAACTCAACAGCCATGACAAGTACAGCCCTGAGTATCATTTACATTAGTTTCCCGTTATATAACAGTATAAGCTTTATCATCTCCATTTCACAGGTGAGGAAATTGGAGCTTAGAGAGGTTTACAAACCCCTGATCATACAGCTCTAGGAAGTGTCCTTAGAGGCAGTTAGTTTTTGAAACTGAGTTAATCGTGCTATACAAATTGTTCTTGTGGTCAACCCTGTGGTAGAAAGTGTGTTGGAAGTAGGGAGGAGGGGGGTTGTTCAGTAGTTTTTTCAGTCATATGTGACTCTTTGTGACCTCATTGGGGGTTTTCTTGGCAAAGATATTGTAGTGGTTTACCATTTCCTTCTCCAGCTCATTTTACAGATGAGGAAACTGAGGCAAATGGGGTTAAGAGACTTGCCCAGGGTCACACAGCTAGTGAGTGTCTGAGGTCACATTTGAACTCAAGAAGATGAGTTTTCCTGACTCCAGGGCCAGCGTTCTATGCACTGCCCCACCTAGCTGCCCTCATGGGGTGCCAATATAGTACTTCAAAATAATAAGAAGAATCACTGAGGCTTATTATTCTACTCTTCCTGCCTCCTTCCTGTTCCCAACCCCCACTGTGGTCTAGGGAGTTAATTTTTAGGCAGTGAAAAGATTAGCAGCCATTGACTCCTGTATTTTCTTGTACTGAGTGGTCACATCCGTTTTTCAGGGGGGTAGAATGTTGTTATTTTGATGGATTACTTTGATGACACCCGT